TCATTTAGTATAATCACACAAATTCTGTGTTTTATATTTAATAATTCTGTGTTCTTTATTTATTGAATGTTCAATACCCGACAAGGTCGGAGATGAACAACTTGGGTCGCAGGTTCCTCAACAGTGCATTACAAGACATCTATCAATATGTGTGTATACCTCCACCATTAAACTGTCATATTCTGCACATTTCTTATACTATCTACATACATCTTATAAGAGTATAATACATATGTATAATATCAGTTAAAATAAGTGCTTAAACATACAGTAGTTAACATTGCAGGAAAGCAATGTATTAGTACTTTGTCAGGCTTAATATGAATACCCCGAAAGCTTTTTTCTTATTCAAAATAAGACCTTAACCTAAAGTATTCTTTAATGTTTAAATAAAGCCTTATTAGTTTGTCTGTCTGTGTCTCCTATTTATATCTAATAATAAAAATAATACATTTCAATAACATGCTTTAACCAGCAGATGTCCCTTTCTATCAGCTGTGCACCGTTATGGTGTACTGTACATATACCAATATACCGATTGGATCAAATATAAAAGTCAGACGAATTAGTGTTGATACTGCAAGGAGACGTATATTGTGAAGAAAAATTTAATATTTTGTTTAATTGCTGATATATTTATGATCCACGTCACATATTCAGTTTCGGCGGCAGTTCTCATGGCGTATATTATCAACGCTATGGGAGACCTATGAAGGTCAATGGGACGCCCTGCCCGTTGAAAACTGACATCCAAGGGGTACCCTGTACGTAATAGAGTGATGGGGAGGGGCCCTGACCGTCCGTCAATATGTGACGGGTTGGGAGTGAGAACGTGTTGCATGGTGTTGGAATATTTTTCATAGAATTTATCATAACATAACTGCGTTTATGTATGCATCATATACACCAAGGCAGATTCCTTGTACTGTATGTCTAAACCTACTTGGCATTAAACCTGATTCTGATGTGTTTCTGTCTCCCTGCGGTCCAGGGTCCAGCCTGTGAGTTTCCCTCTGTGTCGCCGCCTGCCTACTGAACACGTAAGCGGCAATTTGCAGTTCAAAGTGGAACCTACATCGACTGGTCCTGATGGTAAATCTGTCTTTAAATTGTATTTGTTCTTCTGAGTATATTTTTCTGAAATTGAAACATGATAAATAGAATTTCTTGTGCCTAATGCAGGGGCCTCCCCCGAGTCTATCATCGACATTTCATCCTTGAATGGAGCTCCAGGGACTCCATCCGATGATGAAGACCTGCCCCATCACCTTCCAGGAATCTTATCTTCGGTCCCTTCTCCTACCGGTTCCCAGGGCTCCCAAATCATGTGGGAAGGCGGGGCCACCGCCTACCCAGAAAAGGAACTGCCTCTTGTGGGAGCTGAGAGCAGATTTGTGGAGCATGAAAGCCTGTCGTGCCATGAAATGCTCCAGAGGTCTCTCAGTGAGGGCCTGGCTGCCATCGAGGCCCCCAAAGGCCCCGGTGAAAGACCCCTGGGTGCAGCCTCACCTAAACTTCGCTCTAGCTTCCCCACTCACACAAGACTCAGCGCCATGTTGCACATCGACTCAGACGAGGACGATGATCGGTCCGGGGCCAACGACATCTTTCCCATGCCGCTGTCCCCGCTGCTGATGAATGGAGATCCTCCAGATGTCAGCGGCCCCGATGAAGATGACCCTTTTCCTGAGTTCCAGCAGGAGCAGCATCAGCTGGAGCCTGCAGCGCTGGTGGAGGAGCCTGGGGGGGCGGGTGGAGCAGAAGCCCTGCCCCCTGAGGCAGAGGGGGCCCTGGAGATGGGGCTGGACTTGGAGGATGTGTTGGAGCCTGATGTCTTCTCCGAAGTGGAAGAGGCCCCTTTTACAGAAGCCGTGTCCCACAACGCTGTGCTAGAGGGTGAAGGGCACGAGGAGGGGAGGGGCCCTGGCGAGGACCCCTCCTCAGATATGGACACCTGCTCCATGGCAACAGCCCCGCAGACAGCCTTGTCATCATCAGAGAGCTGTCCAATCACTGCCAAAACTGCCGTGGTGAGTTCATAGTCCTTATCCTACTTTTACATTTGGTTTGCTGTAATTTGACCCTCTATAGCAGGGGTATTCAACTAAAATTCAACGAGGTCCAGTTAGAGAAAATCTCCCCATGCAAAGGTCCGGAACATCAAAATGTCTAAGTTGCTTTATGAATTAGTGTGATATATATTGAAGTAGCCTGTAGCTTTATCAACGTCTGCATGTAATCAACAACTGACTGCCAATCAAATAAAGAAAGTACAGTTCATAAACAACAATATTTATTGTAAATTAACATTGAACTTGAGTTTCCCTTTTTCTTTGTTAACCATTTCACATCATGACTTAACAGTTTCAGACGATTATAGAACAATATCAGTCTTTACACATCATAACAATTAAACAGTTTTAAAGTTTCTCTTTCTTTCCCTCTTATATTGCAGACCCTCAATCACTTTTTTTTAATTCAGTGCGAGAATTGATCTCGAGCTTGTCCTGCCAGGAGTTTGAATCTGGGCTGAAATGGTGTCAGGGCCATTCTCATATACACATGCAGGTGCTCATTGGTTAGCCTTGGTTAGCCTGCCCTGGAACCATATTTAGTTTTAATTTTGATCCTGGTCGACTGATCATATTGGGCTCTGAGACTGCTTATTTTTTGTGACCTCAGTTCTGACTTGAGAGGGAATGTTTGGTCAAACACTTTGTGTTTTGTCTCATAGTGGCGTTTTGGCACTTTTAATGAGCACCACGGAACAAATGAGACACACTGGCTCTGTGCTCCCAGTGGGCAGGATGAACATGAATGAGTCCGTCCACTCAGGGTTAAAAGCTCTGTTCTCACTGTCCACTTTCCTCTTCTTGGAGAGCGCCATGTGTAAATATTTGTCTCTGTCTGCCGCTAACACGCCTGTTCACTCTCCTCTCCGTCTTCTCTCCCTGTATCGCTAATTATTCTCTTCACTCACTTTCCTCTCTGCGCTCTCATCTCTTCTTCTGTGTTTCTCCCCCTATATCGCTCACTCGTCTCTTTCGCCCCCTGTCGGCAGCGGTTAAAATAGAATTACCCCGTTAAAATTGAAATCCCCTATTAATTTATTGATTATAGGTCCGAGTCCGTATAGGTCGGCGTCTGGGTCCGGATCTGCCTGTTGCCGACCCCTGCTCTATAATGTTTAGCTGACAAATAGTCTATAAAGTTGTATTTTTCACTGTCATTATGTTTAGATTTTATTTTTCAGTTCAGTTTTATTTGCTATTTTGAGACGTTTATATTTTATGATTTTTTTTTTTACTCTTTTTTCATTTTCACATAATGTGCAATGCCTTGTTTTAACATGCTGCTGTGACGAAAACATTTCACAAATTTGGATCAATAAAGTCAATCTTATCTTATCTTCTCTTATCAAGTCAACAGTCGACTCTCCGTTCAATCGTCAGATTTCATGGTATAGCTCAGTTATGTGTAGCCACAGACCCCTGCTTCCCCCCGTCTCTGTGCTGACTCTCTCCAGGGTCCTAGCCCTGGCCCTGTATGTGTACAATGCACCATAACACTCTGCTGTAGCACCATCACTCCGTTTTCAACACAGGGGGTTTACAGTACATGTAACATTTTCGGATTAAAATGCCTATAAACAACATTGAGACCCTCAATCATCAGAAAAAAAGAAGCTCAGCTAATGTTAGGGTCAGCCCAAATTGAATTAGAGAAAGATTAATTGTTCACTTGAAACTGCTTTATTCATGGTTTTCATCGGTTTGGAGAGGAGGAGACTTTGGCAAATAATTGGTCTCCCAGTAGAACCTTCCTAAATGTCTTGATGTTATCAGAGAGACCATGCAGATCCAACATTATTGGCATCCCTGGTCTGCTTGCAATGTTATATAGCTATTTCTACCTCCTATTTCAGCTGCGCTACATCAGACAAACACATTGTTAATGTGTAGCATGCAATAGATCATGATTATTGTAATCCTAAATATTTAACCGTCTTTATCAGTGGGGCGTGTGTATGGAGGAATGCTTAGTGTATAATCCTTCCCCTGGTGGAATCCTCCTGAACAATGAATAATAACGAATTGCCAAGCAGGAGAATCTCACTCCATTGATAAACTCCCATGAGCCCACACTACTTTACGACTTTGTCAAACTCCGGTCTTTTGTGATTGTTTTCATTTAAAGACCCCTAGTGGCTGAAAAGGAAATATTGTGCATTTAAATAAATATTCTCAAGCAGTAAGTCATTTGGAGTGAATTCTGACCGGCTTGGCTTGTATCAGCAGAGTTTATATAAAGAAAGCATGAGTGGGAAACAGCAATCTGCATTCATTTTTCATGGGATTTTTTGAGAAATGCCCAGCGATTGTTTCCTGTAAAGGTCACCTATTATGCAAAATGCACTTTTTGATGTCTTTTATACATAAATATTAGGGCTGTCAAACGATTACAATTTTTAATCAGATTAATCACAGCTTAAAAATTAATTAATCATGATTAATCACCATTCGAACTATGTCCAAAATATGCCATTTCTTTATGTATATTGTTGTGGGAATGGAAAGATAAATGAAAGAAGGCGGATATATCCATTTCACATACAGTATGTATGTTTATTATAAAAAATGTCTGTGTGTCAAAATGAAAGACAGCCCTATCAATCATCAAACCGTGGGGTCTTAATTCATTACATGTTGATTTCTATCAACGGGGGAGTACTTCAGGAAAGTCGACGTTATCTTGATTCTGATTTGCCAGAAGATATTATCAAAGATGTTCTATTGAGAAGACGATCACTACGTGACAAAAGTTTTCAAAACCGTTTCTAGTCATCGGTATTTCCAGACAAGTGGCTACTGAAATCAATCTTACTAACTGCTGTCTGTGCAATTCTCGGCGCGAGTTGGCGGACTTTATTTTACTTACTTTAACATCATTTTTCATGGTGGGGCTAAGCCATTTCTTGGTATGGGTGTAGCCTACCCCAGCCATACCCTGGCGCTGCCACTGGTGGGGTGTATGGGGCGGGCCATTCTGCACATGCGTTAAATGCGTTAAATATTTGAACGCAATTCATTCAAAAAATTAATTACTGCCGTTAATGCGATAATTTTGACAGCATTAATAAATATATGTATTTAGTGTGTAAGGAGACTCAAAAAGTGTCAGAAAATAAAACGCTTTCTCTTTTCCTCCTTACCCACATCTCTAAAAGCGGGGGTACAACAGAGCTGATCCAGATTTGCTGAGGTCATGACAACATTACTAAAATGTGGGCTGGCTTTACGTTGAACTCCTGGAAACGTCCCGCCCAGGAGCGGACTGGGGGGGAAAAGTGGCCCAGGGATTCATTGACAGACAGGCTCACTTAATGCGCGGCATGTATCGGCCGGCCGGCGACGAAAGTATGTTACTTAACAAAAAACCCTATGCATTTAATGTTATTTTGGACCATTATTCATATAATAATCACATTACCTGAGCCCTTGAGCTGCCTACAGCAAAAATAATTACATCATATATTTAGTGATTTTAATGTTAACAGATCATTGGCCCCCGGGGAGGACCGGTTAACCAACCAGGGTTTACA